ATTTGAAGCTGGACAATTTATATCGTTGAATCGCGGTTTTCTGGGTTGTCATTTATCAAACGCTGGCCAAGATATGCGCATGGACCCAGAGTGCTCTCTTAAACACTTTATATTGTGTATTTTATTTTTTTGTAATTAGTTCGCCAAATCATTTATCAATCAAACAGCGGTAATGTGTCAAGTCAGGGTAAAAAAACTAAAGTCAAATGGACAACAAAAATAAACAAAACACAAAAAAAAAAGAAGAAAAACTTGACGAAACTGTGAACGACCGCACACACCAAAAAGCACTTGACAAGTGTGCCAAAAAAAAAAAAAGGAAAAATAAAAAAATATATATAAAAAATAGCAACGACAACGACAAGGTCGCCGCTTGTGAGTACCCCCCCCCCTCCCCTTTCCAGCTCGTCGAAAATTGGCTTACAATTGGTCTTGTAAAGCAACCGAAAAAGTACTAAGTAAATCAAACGTCAAGTGGCCAACAAAAAAATACAACAAAAAATGGAAAACCAAAAAAGTAGGTAGAAAAAAAAAGCATAGAACAAACACGTCACGGCAATTAAAAGCCAACGAAATACAAGAAATTCATTGAATTTTAGAGGGGGGGTGGAGGGAAAGCCAAGCCACAGATATTGTTGTTATGTCAATTGACCAACAAAAAAGAGACGAGAAAAATTTGAACGAAAAATATCGACAGTCCAAAGAAGAAGCCTTCGAGCCGCAGAATTTCATCGGTTCTTTGGCACTTGGCCTGAAAATAAATGGCCAAAAACGAACCTCTAACAGTGGTGAGGTCGTGTCCCAGACTTGAGGCTTGAATTGGGGTAATAATTGTGGCCAGAATTCTTAGTAAATAATATTTAAAATATATATCAAAATAATTTAAGAAAATAAAATTAATAAGAAAATAAGATAAATAGCTTAAGGGCTTAAAATATATATTAAATATAATATAATATGGTAGAATATATTAAATCAAGACAAGGTTAGTCTTTATCTTATTTTATTCCTTAAAATAAATATTAAATAAAATATATATTATAGTAGAAAATATTCAATCAATGCAAGGTCTATTCTCCTTACATTAAACATAGTCAAGAATATTAATTCTTATTCATATTTTTTTAAATATACAAGTACTGTAGTTGATAGTTTTTCAAGCTCACTCACTCTGCCATCTCTATACCTTCTCGATATCCAAAGCTCTCAGAAAAGACAGGGGAACACTCCGCAATTATGCCCTTTCCTGACCACAGACGTGGACACTCTGCATGCCAAATACCATCTACCGGCTACCGGAATCGACATGGAGTGCGGGCAAACTTTTCCACTTTGCAACTATTTCAAAAGTGAAACGAAACGAAACTTGTGGCCCACTTAGTCAGCCTTTCATATACACATTTATATACATATTTATGCCCCATTATAGAAAGAGTATATTGAAATTGTAGAAGCTTCCAAAAATAAAAAACCAAATATTATTTTTGGCTTATGAGAGCTTGAAAGAAGTTTGTAGAAATTTCTTTCAAATATTCCACTAACTTGTCATAACAAAGGGTATCTTAAAGTCGAGTTCTATGGAAATTTATATATATTTTGCGGGGAATTTCCTCTGTCAACGCCTGAGTCTCTGCCGGTCGTCGATTTCCAATGCGGTTCGTGTCTTTGCCTGCTGCATGATTTATGATTCCTGCCCCCCCCAAAAAAAAAAGTATTTGTGGGCCCTCCAGGATGACAAAAAAAAAGCAAGGACAGAGTCCGAAATGAGAATATCCGAATCAGAGCAAAGTCCGAGTCAGTGGCAGAGTCACAGCCAGAAGCAGTTCAAAGTTGTCTACTCAAATCATTTTAATTGAAAATTACACATGAGCGAAGCCAAGGAAACATACAGAAATACAGAAATTTGGCATTTTTCGAATTTTTGCAAGCCGAACTTTAAAAGCCCTTTAATTTAAATAAGATTTTAAGAATATTTACAAGCAAAAACCTAACTTTAAAAACTAAGGAAAAATATAGGAAAAATATTTAAAAAGTAGATTTATTACTTTAGTGAATACAGAAATAAAATTCAAGATTTATAATAGCTTTCATTAGCTCTTAATAATTATTAATTATATCCATAATTCTAAACCCTAGAATTCTTTATATTATAACAAGAAAGGAAGCTAACTTCGGCACGCCGAAGTTTGTATACCCTTGCAGATATTTTTTCATTAAATTTTACCTATACTTATTGTTTAGAGTTTGACAGTTACAGTTTTACATTCCCAGTTTTACATTTTCTCTACATCTACCGATCGGTTTATATGGCAGCTATATCATATAGTTGTCCGATTTTCATAAAATTTATACCAAAGTTCTGAACTAATAATATAAGCTTATATCTCAGAGTAGATAAAAATAGGTTGAAAAACAACGAAGTTATAATGTTTTTTCTATTAATTTCCCGATCGTTCCTATGGCAGCTATAAGATATAGTCGTCCGATATTCATAAAATTTTTACCAAAATTCTGAAATAATATACAATGGCCATATCTACAAAATGGTGCAAAAATGTTGAAAAACAGCCAAGTTATAATTTTTTTTCTAAAAATTTATCGAACATTTGTATGGCAGCTATATGATATAGTTGTCCGATCGGGCCCGTTCCGACATATATAGCAGTGAGAGTATATAGAAGACTATATGCAAAGTTTCATTCAGATAGCTTCAAAACTGAGGGACTAGTTTGCGTAGAAACGGACGGACGGACAGACGGACAGACGGACAGACGGACAGACGGACGGACAGACGGACAGACGGACAGACGGACATGGCTAGATCGACTCGGCTGTTGATGCTGATCAAGAATATATATACTTTATAGGGTCGGAAAGGTCTCCTTCACTGCGTTGCAAACTTCTGACTGAAATTATAATACCCTGCAAGGGTATAAAAAGTACTACCACTTCATAGGGCAAAAAAAAGGAAATGTATTCAGGCAAAGACAGACGGCAGCCGCCACCAAATGGATCCAAGGGCAGCCTGGTATGTGGACTTTTGGCACAGCACATGTCCTTGGGGCGGTGCCTGAACCCCACCCCTTTGCCGGCAAAGGATTCGCGGACTTGGCCAGGACCTTGGTTCAGTTTCAATCTCTCTCTTCATCTCTCTCCCTCTTCTTTTGCTTGGTTTTTGGCCTGGCACATGGCACGTTTTGTCCGTACCGGAAATGTCCATTCACTTGCATATTAACAAAGTTCCGTACACTCACACAGTGCTCCCTGTTGCCCTTTGGTCTATGCATATAGGCACTGAGAGAAATTTCCTAAACTAAATTGAATTTTTCTTTTGGTTTAATGTTATAAAATAATAAATTATGGGGTTATGACACTATATTCCTTATATTAATTCATAGAAACATTTAAGAAGTATATATTTAAAAAATAATTTGATAATAGATAGATTTTAAATGTTAAATTAAAAGTTGCATAATTAAAAAATAAAAGGACAGGAATGTTTTAACTACACTTCTAAGACATTTTTTTTTTAATATTTAAAAAATAAATAAAGTAAATTGTTATTCTTAAAAAAAAAACTTCTACAAAATTTATACAAAATAGGCTATACAGTATTTATAATATTTTTACCCATAAGAATAAAAAAAAATGTTGCGAGACCATTTCTATTGAAAAAAAGCTGCTCTTTTTTCGCCTTCGTAGTGTCATACCACCATAATTAAATTAAAAATCTAAAAAGCTGGCTCTTGGCTAATATAAAAATCTATAAAAGTAAAAAGTGAAACACTTGAATTTCGCCAGTGTAAACTTGGCAGTACTTAATAAACTCCCCAGAGAGCGACCGGGCGGGTAGAAGGCCAACCAAGTTGGTCGTACATCATAGAGTCCTTCCTATATCCTTGCCAGGGCCGCCTGCTGCGGCTGCCAGCTGGCGGGGGGGGGGAGGGTAGTGAGGGGGGCTTGGGGAAAAACAGGAAAGTATTTCGAAGGCACCGGAAACAGGAAGCAAGCAATAATTCAAATGAATTTCAAATCAAATCATTACAAAACATTTACAAAGTATGCGCCGAAGCGCTGCACAAAACCGCACAAGACCAGAAATGCCAGCCAGCCAGCCAGCCAGCCAGCCAGCCAGCCAGCCAGGACTTTGCAAAGGCAGCGGCAGAGGCGGGGAGGGGAGGGGATGAAAGAAGACCAACTTTGACTTTTGCAAACTGCAGGTGGGTGCCCAGCTAGTGGCCTCGCCCACCTCCAATGACTCGTGGGACTTGCAGTGATTAATTTCTATTATTATGACACTGATTAGGTCCACTTACAGGCTCATTACAGTCATGAGCACATAATGCACAGCCAGGACACGTGACGGTGATTTAGAGGGGGCGCGAAACGGGCGCCCCGCGGAAACCGGGGGAACGACTGCCGGACGAAGGTACTCCCCTGGCGGCCGTCGGTAGACATTTATCAAGACATTGACCGCCGCATGCAGCGCCAACTGGAGACCGTTTGTCTTGCACTTGACCAGGGGCTCACCAGGGGGGCTCTAAAAGGGGGAGGATTCGGGCCAGGACTACGACTCGGACAGGAATAGGGACAGGTATAGGCGAAGCCACCTTCAGAGGCCCTGAACATGAACACCAGTTGGCCCATAAATTAAAGCCACCAACCTAGGCACTGGCCTACACAAATTTTGGGTTTAGCAATCAACGTTGAGGCGAGATGAGAAGTTAATTTGTAAGCGAGTTTATAGGGAAACAGGGAGGGAAAGGACATTACTCCTGTAGAGTGGCATAAATCTAATTAACAAAGGTAGAACCCCAAAAGAAAACACATATTGTTGCACAGTGTAATTGCTTTCAATTATTTAAATAAATAAATTAAGTTGCCTTCTCGCATACTAATAATAATCATAAAAAAAAAATATAGCTTGGCCTCAAAAAAAAAATAAAATTTACTTATCTTAGAGGGAAGAGCGGGTACCATGACTTCCATTACCCTCAACCTCAACCGCGATTCGGACGCACAACCATCACCTGTGCCTTGTTCTTGCCCCTGTTGTTGCCACGTCGCCGACGTCGCTGGATCTGGTTGTTGTTAACGGCGCCACGCCTCTTGTTAACCCTACGCCTATTGCCGGCAGGCACACGCCTCCTGTTAACCGGACGCCTACGTCCGGCCACAGCCTGGCCCACGATCTGTGGCAACAGATCACCTATAGGCGAGGAACCGTAGATGGCCTGATTGATGGCCGAATTGGTGGCCGACGTGGACGATGATGAGGAGCTCGAGGATGATGAGCCCGAGTTGCCAAGATTCACATAGATGGCACCGTTCGAGGTGGTGGTCACCACACCAGATCCAGTTGTAGTTCCCAAAGTTCCAGTAGTTCCAGTAGTTGTTCCAGTCACTAATCCAGTACCAGTAACTGATGATGTGCCCGTGGGACGCAGTTGCTCCAGTATGTCCTGCTTATTGGTTATGTACTGATTGATGGCCGAGTTGAGGCCGCTGTTGGTGTTGGTGCTGCTGCTGCTGGTGAGTCCTGAGCCAAGGAATCTTAGCTGCCCATTCTCGTTGCCATCCTTCACATAGATGCCAGCCAAGCGAGGAAGATCCTGCTGTTCGGCCAGATCCTTCTCCTTGACCACCTGGGCTGCCTGAGTCCAGCTGCCCAACAGGAGACAGAGCACCAAAATTGCGTTGATCATTGCTTACGGCTTGAGGATGGTGGCGATTGTGTGACGCTGTCCAGCTGCCCGGCACTTTTATAGCCCACCATGAGTTGACGGAAATTCGAATATCGATTGTCTTCTCTGGAGGTGCCGCTTTCTTTTATCCAGAATACGCCATGCCAATATGATTTTCATTTGTTTCTCTCCGCCACTTTTGGCACTTTTAGAAAGCCTTTCGCCTATCATTTGCCTTCGGGGCTGGTTAGTTGGGCTCAGTGGATGGCCAAGATGGCTTTAGCTTGGGTTTGCTCTGCTGGGATGCCCGAAATGAGGGCCAAGCGTGTCAAGAAGTGCGCACACTTATGGGCCATTGTTTGCCTTTGCCACAGATCGTGAACCTCAAGTGGTCACAGCCATTTGAGGCTGAGAGTCGGTGGCAGTCAAGTTCGCAGAAGTCTGCACTTTAATTAAAATTTAAAATCAGCCACAGAAACAGAAACAGCAAAGTGTACACAGGGCTGTTGTGCGAAGAGGGTTTCTTTCTTCTTTTTTTTTTTTTTTTTTTTTTGGTACAGTGGCTTAAGGCTTGAGTTTGGGATTTGGTAACCAATAAACTAAACTAATAAAATATATGTATAGATATTGTGTACTCACATGTCTCTATATCTCTCCTCTGAATGATCAATCTCCTTGATTTCCTTGTGATCTCTAGGTATCTCTGGGGATTCCTGTTCGTTTCCTCCCTCTGTAAATAAGAAAGCAAAAAACTTAACACTACCATTCAGCTGGGTTACCACTCAGAAGATGCTACAACTAGTTGGGAATTATAGTATCAAGGGAGTGAATTTTTCTCTTCTTTCTTTACTTTACTTTATTGAATATTTAAATATGATATTACTGAAAACAAAATACTGGAAAAGTATCCTAGGCAGAGACATTAATTGCCAATAATCGTGCCTTAAGACATCTTCAAAAAAAAGTAGCTTGAAAACTTTTTTTACTGAAAATGTCCCATGCACAACACAAAGTTTAGCCCATCAACTGCTCTTGCACTTTTCCAACCGAAAACTCCAGGGGAGATTGCATATTTTCAATCTTATTTTATTTTTATTTTATTTTTTTTTTTTGTGGGTTATAGATGCCACCAACCCCACTGTGAGATTGTGCATTCGGAATGGTTTCCATCATTTTGGCGCCAGTGTGCGCCGCAGATGGCGCCCCCTGGTGGGGCCAGCGCTACCGATTTAACCCACTACTGTACCCGATTTAACCCCCAAGTGCCGCCAGCCTCATTTCATTCTATTGCTGCTGCCTTGCTTCTCAATTTTTCGCCTAAGTTGGCCAACCGACAGTTTTGGAGCTGAATGCCTGGCGGTGGCTGTTGGAATAATTTTCACTTACGCTGGCACACACACTAAAACACGCACACACACACATGTTACAGGGGAAACAATTAGGGAGGTAATATGGGAATATTAAAAAACATTTAAACTAGATTTTGGTGTTTGAAACGGATTTAATGCATATGATAAACGTCTTTTTTATTATTATAAATTTATATTTTGATTCTTTTTACATATTTAATTAAATATATTTAAAAAATCACATAGTATTATACTTTTAAAAGGATTATAAAGCTTATTTTTAAGCTACAATTGGGAGAATCCTCTATCTATATTTTTTGCAAGCCAAAAACTCTCAAAAATTTGTTATAATTCTTAACATTATTTTATGTTAAATTTAATTTATATATATATTTTTTTGACTGTGTAGCACACACAGTCAGTGTGAGAGAGAGACACGTACGTGTGTCGCTCACTGTTCGCGGTTCGTCGTTTACTTGGCAATGCAATTACAGGCGCTAACCGCGCGTGAAAACAGCAACAGAGACAACAACAACAACAGCGATGACAACAATAACAACAAATCTATCTATACAAATTTGGAAATACCCTTTTTAAAAAAGAAAATATGAGGGAAAACAAAGAACAAGCCAGAAATGATTTAAGCCTGGTTTTTCTTTGTTAACAAGAAGTCCAAATAAAAAATATAATTATATTAAAATTACTAAACTTAATTTTAAAAAAATAATAATAATAATAGTTAAAATTAAGGAAAATTTCCATTTTTCAGTATTTAAAAAAGCATTTAAAAATAAGAAAACTGTAAAAAGACCTTACGCCAGAGTATAAAGACACTCGCTGATAGAGTTTTGCCAGCTCCTTCGCCTTCTTCTTACCTCACTCAATGCATCTACCGATTTTCCTTAACACCCCCTCTACCACCCTCTTTTAGAGTTTCCCCTCACCCGCCGCCGTTTCCCTACCATTTCCCATTTCCCGCGGCTCTGTCACTGAGCGGCTTAAAGCGACGCAATGACAATTAACAACAGGCGACAAAAACGACGAGAAAAGAAGGTGAGAAAGGTGGGGAAAGTCTAAAGGAAAGCCGGTGGGGGTGGGGGGTAGCGGCTGGGAAAACTCAGGGCCAGGGGAGGGTTTGTTAGAGGGTGCAGAGAGCCATATCAATGACAGCTCCAGACGCCGGAGCCAAGCAGTGAAAGAGCCAGAGAGCCTGAGGATTAGGGATGCCAGAGAATATCGAAATAATAAATGAATATAATAATAAATAATATAATAATAATTATTATAATATAAATAATAAAGTAATAAATAATATAATAATAAATTATAAAATAATAAATAAATATAAAAAAAATAAATTAAAAATAAATATGTATAAAAATAAATAATATAATAATAAATTATAAAAATATATATAATAATAAATCAATCAATCATAAATAAAAATCAATAAATATAAAAATAAATGCATTTTATTTTAAAAATTAAATATTTTTAGTTAATTTTTTAATTAGTATTTGTGTTTTTTATTTTTATTTATATTATTATTATTTTATTAGCTTCTTTTTCCTTAGATATTTGCCTCCTAAGTCTACATTTTCATTAGTTCTATTGTTTTTCCCATAGGTTCTTAATAATACGTTTGATTAATTATAAAAACCTATCAAATATTAGGTTAAATTTCAAATTTTGTACATATTTTTATTATATTAAAATATCTCCTAGATCTTTGAATATCCAGTTACGATATTCCTCTAATAAAAAAGGCACGATATATTTTTGAAAGTAGTACCATTTACGATATACATCCCTAGAGACTGGATTCACCGCAAGAGATAAGATCCTACCACCCTCTCTTATGTCCGCCCACCTGCCCAACACACTTACGCATATTAACAGGCTTGAATTTTTGCAGTTTTTCCCCCAGAGTTTTCCCTCCTTCATTTTCATTTCCAAGTGCAATTGAAGTGCAAAATGCGTTTGGCAATAGAATTGCCAGCTAAAGTTTTTCCCAGCCACCAGCCAACCACCCAACCCCCCCGTCGTCTTCGAATTTTTCCACCACAATACAAAACTCGGTGCAGTTTTTCTCCTCTACTCAATTTTTATTTGCTTCAGTTCCGTTTGGTTTTTTTTTTAAGTAAAAAATTTATTTTATTTTATTTTATTTTACCTTCTTTTTTTCTTGTTGTAAGTGGAAATTTCAATGACATTTTAATGGAAAATTGCAAATGAATGAATGAAAAAGTTCGGGGTAAAAGTGCCACTGGTTTGGAAAATAGGACGGTGGGTTGGTGAGGATACAAACTTGCATAATTGATGGAAAACTCTTGATTTTCTCGGTTAACTATGCAAGGAAAATGCCAAAAGCATTGCCAAGCTTATAGCTTAAATTTCAACTTTTCTTGAAATTTTAAATTCTTAAAAAAACGGTCCCCCCATTGCAGCTTCTCCACGAATTCCATGGGGGACACGTACCCTTCTCGATCTTCAAAGAAAAGCAAAGCCTCTTCCTGGAGGCGGAAATGTTTGGGGCCATCAGATTGTTGTCAACATGGTCTCGCACGTGATATCAATGCATTAACGGAAGTGTTTTAATTGTATGATCCCAAAATAGCCACGGAAATGTAACAGACTTCTGGCTAAAGATCAATAATCGTCGCCCCCTCTCGACAAGGTAAAGATCGCCCTTCAGGGAAAATTGGGGAAAACATTGAAAAATGTTGCCCCGTGCTTTGAGTTTTCTTCTTTTTTTTTTTTTTTTTTTTGACAAACAGACGCGGCAAATAAATAACAAGAAATGTTGTGTTTGGGGGGCGGTATTACGGTTCCAAAATCCGGATGGATTCCCCAAACTTTGCCCACTTAAGACCTCCGAACAAATTAACACAAAAGTCCAGAAAGAGCGAGAGACAGAGCTTGGGGGGGTGTATCTATTTTTGGGAACCAGACAATTCGGTGGCCTGAGATCCCGGGGTATATCCATCCCCAGTCTGTGGCATCCATGTAGCACCTTTATTAATTGCAGCTGACGACGAGACGAGCGTTTGACATGTTTAATGCGAAAATCTCCAGAGTGGAGGGAAAGGCAGTCTACACTGAGGGAAATGGGGAATACAAATTTAGATATTTTAGGGATATATTTTGGGGATTATATATTCCTTTGTGAAAAGATAATTCTTAAACTCTTTTTAAGAACTTTTTACCTTGCTTTTTCTGGAACACATTTTACATTTTCTTGTTAATATTTTCACCCCGTCATTATCCCTTATTTTTTCCAGTGCCTGGCACAATCCAAAGTCCCGTTTCAAGACTGCTGAACATTTGTACATCTATTTTTGTAAACAAAATGCCACAGGGTCTCTCCCCAAACGTTGGGCTGGAAATTCTTTTGACTTAATCTATTTCGGTTGCCGACCAGACATCGGCCTTTATAGCACATATATATATATATATATATATATATATATTTGGACAGACAGCAAAATGCAGACTAAAGACTGCAGACTGTAGACTGCAGACTGAAGATTGGTGGAGAAGACAGACAGCTGACGCCAGTCCCGGGGCAAAGTCGAAGTCTTGGGGATGTGACATGTGGGGATCTGTTTAGGGAATCAAAATCGACTATAGGGTGATATCACAAGGGACTCTCTCTAGGCATTGAAAAGGGGAGAAATACATATATATTTCTCTTATAAAAAAAGTAACATCTAGGAGGACACTCTATGTTCGAGTTCGATAACTTTGTTCGC